CCCCAAAAACCCCAAAACCCCAAAACCCCAAAACCCCAAAACCCCTGGATAGAACCAAATTTTTGAAAATGACTGAAGGCATAAATGCTCTATTAGTAATTATTAACTTTCTTCAGTAGTAACAGTCTTGAATCCTGATCTTTCAACATCGGGAACTCCGAAGCAGCAGTCTCTAGTGATACCTAGGTTGTTTTCATACATGCTGATCTTGAAGAAGCCGCCTTCTCCCCAGTATGTGCCCCAAGAGTTTCTTGCAATCCAGTATTCCTCGCCTTCTGTTGTCTTGCCCCAGCCGAGGACAGAGATTTCATGAGTGAGATCGGTAATTTCTCTTACTTCAGAGTAAACACCTCCAGTGTAATTGTACAAGTTAGGAGTGGTCTTGATTCCACAAGAAATTGGGCCTCTTGCGAAAATCTCAGCCTTCATTTTATCGACACCCTGGACTTGACCGTACTCAGATGCATAATATTTCCTTGGATTATCCACAGCCCAACAATTTTCGAGGGATTGCTCACCATCAGGTGGAGGAGGACCCTGGCAGTCTCTACAGACATTTATGGGGTCACAGAGTCCATCTTCTTCAATATCTTTAGATTCATAGTTCATGCATGAGTTGTGAAGAATTCCATCAGTATCGGCATATTGGTAGACCTCGATTGGGTGTCCTCCGGTAGCACATTTGCCTCCAAAAGCACAGTTCATCAAAGATTGAACACTGAAGGCAAAGTTGATGTTTGTCCTTTTCAGTAAGATATTGAATCTATCAGCCAAACTAGCAGTTGTTGCTTGCAAGAAGCATGACCCACAATACTGAGGGACATGTTGATTTGTAACCCAGGTAGAAGCATAACTAACTCCACTGACATTTCTCCAATCTAAATTTTCTGGAAGATCTTCTAGGTTCAAATATTCATGTGGTCTTGGAGTGAGAATTTTCTCTCCGCCAGTATACTCTCTTGAATCAAGCCTACATTTAGTCTCATACATTTCAGCTTCACGATCCTTTCTTGTGAGTTGGTACTTCACAGATTGATATAATTTGTCTTTCTGTAGCTGAGTTCTATCCTGGTCTGATATTCTATGAATAATCTCTTTTCCTGCATCCCAGCTATTTTTAACGTTAGCCCAAGAGCAGTTAGTTTCGATCCCAAGATTGTCAATACCTCTGACAAGCTTCATGAATCCTTCATCTCCCCAGTAGGTTCCCCAAGAGTTTCTGATTTCCCAGTATTTGACTCCGTTTTCCTCACCGAAACCTGTAATTTCAACTACATGGTCTCTTTCCTTGCGGCCGGTTGTATCTCTGAAGACGCCACCTGTGTAGGCATGGACTTCTTCAGTCACAGCAATGGTGCATGAGATAGGCCCCCAGTTGTAGATCTCTTCCATCATGTCTTTCTCCCCAGAGACGAATCCATAATCTTCAACATAGTATTTTGGATACTCTTCCATTGGCCAGCAGTTTCCGTACTTATCACAGTTCTTGCATAAGTATTGGGCTTCACAGTCAGCTCCATTTTTGTGTCCTCTAGCAAGGTATGCAGAGCAGGTTTCGTCAGTGATTCCGTTATCCTTGATGTATTTGTAGGCAAGCAAGTGCCATCCGCCACTACATCCTCTGTTTTCCTTAGCACAGGAGAGCAGAACTTGTGGAGACATATGGAGATCTGGCCCCATTGCATTTCTCTGAATCTTGATTCTATCTGACAATACAGATGTTGCTGCAAAAGCCCAGCACGATCCACAGTATTGAGGAATGTGTTGGTTCTTAACCAAGGTTAGGTAATTGATTCCATCTTTGTCCTGCCAAGTGAAGTTAGCAGGGACTTCAACTCCCTCAACAATCTTCCTGGGAGAGACATCAAGTTCTGCCTCAGGATTTATCCAGAGCCCTTGGTTTAAATTTGGAGCAGCTAGACTCAGCCCCACAAGGATAGCCACAAATACAAATGTTTTTGTAAGGTCCATCTTTAATAATATAATTCCCCTTAGTTTATATTACCCTTTGAATGGGGTTTTGGGGTTTTGGGGTTTTGGGGTTTTGGGG